CGTTTACACGAATGCAACTTCAATTTGTTTTCACTATATCGCTTTCGGTGGTTTCTTTAAGTATCGTGTTTTAAGTAATTTGCCTGAAAAAATGTCCGGTTTCGAAAATAGACATATTTTTCTGTAATCTTTCTCTGTTTTTTTTTTATTTGTTACAAGAAACCTATCTATCGTGCATTTAATAGATCGACAGTACCTAGCTTTTTTCTTGTTTATCTTAAAGTGAAAGTGAAAGTATTTTTTACGGCTGTATTTAAAGGATTTCTCTTTGATTGTCGCTGATCCTAGTGTATTTCCCGCGAACCGGAAAACTCATAATTGAGGACGAATGATCGATGCTAAACTTGAAAATGTGAGCTATAGATATCTATGACTTAGTATATGGACTTAATGGAGACTTGTACAGATCGCTAAGTAATATTCTAGTAGCGGCATCGGCAGCTCGCATCCAATTTTATGGCGCTCAGACCCTATTCTGAACTTTGATTGGCTAAAACGAAACAATGAGACCATTATCGACTTGAGGTGGCTTGGACTACAGTCTAATGTGGGTCCAACCCAAAGATCTAAATTTAGATTTACGGGTTGAACCCGATTTAGACTCAGCGAGGATGGTGAAAATATTGTATATATTACATAAAGGTCTCCCGCTCATATCTTATAATATTACTTACTTTGGAATTGATTCAAAAGCACATCGTTCGTTAAAACTTCGTTCTTTTTTAAATAATATATAAACTTCAGATTATCAAGAAATACCGCAAATCAGCGTTTTTGATAGAATACCCCATCACATTCTAGCACCCTAGTATGTCAACCATAAGAGACTATTAAGCTTAAATAAGCTTACATGCCGACTCTGTTGTAGATTTCAATGTTATTCAAGTGTCGGGGTATTATAAAGTTTATTTTTAGACTTACCAGATTTAAAGACTTCTGAACAGAAAGCATTATACTTATTCTGTCCTTTGATAAAGCCTGGTAGCTTTTTGGGGCTTTTGGGCGCAATGGCAGAGGCGGCTGTTGATGAAGTAGCGGCAGCACGTCGCCGAGATTTCTCGTTCCCAATCCATTTCTGATTCAATGAGTAAAGGAAAGCAATTATTTCTGAGGACAATCTAAAGATCAATTAATTATGAACGGCAATGACGATTATAATAAGTATAATCAGTATAAACGTCTAATTTACTATTAGCTAAATCACCCAGTCATGCATGGATGGATTAACGCACACGCGTGGATTTGTTATTTTGTAATAACTTAACTTAACATAACTAAACTAGACCGACTATGAAAGAAAACCGATTACCATAAGTAAAAAATAAAATATAACTGTATAAATTTGACATACCTTTACTTGATCCACGGTCAGCTTGCTCTCTTTGGCAGCAGCCTCTATTTGGTCCTTGTACGCAACGGCCTTGCTTGTCATGCCATTGTTATAGTGMTTTACAAGGATTTCTCTTTGATTGTCGCTGATCCTAGTGTATTTCCCGCGAACCGGAAAACTCATAATTGAGGACGAATGTAAACTTGAAAATGTGAGCTATAGATATCTATGACTTAGTATATGGACTTAATGGAGACTTGTACAGATCGCTAAGTAATATTCTAGTAGCGGCATCGGCAGCTCGCATCCAATTTTATGGCGCTCAGACCCTATTCTGAACTTTGATTGGCTAAAACGAAACAATGAGACCATTATCGACTTGAGGTGGCTTGGACTACAGTCTAATGTGGGTCCAACCCAAAGATCTAAATTTAGATTTACGGGTTGAACCCGATTTAGACTCAGCGAGGATGGTGTTATCATAGTGCCATGCGGTCTTCATATTCATATCTTTACATTATTCTATTACCGCAACCTTAACATCTATTTCACCCCGAGCTGCTCCCAGTCTGACCTTGTAGCTCAGCTGRTABARCATCGGTGTACAAATCCGAAGGTCGTGGGTTCGAATCCCACCGAGGTCGGAAATTAATTTTTCCGAATTTATTTCTAAGGGACTTCTCCTGGAATTGCCTCCTTCTAAGCACTATAACTTTCTTTCATTTCTAGATCATTTTTTTTTTTCGTTTTTTCGCAACTTTAATCGCTTTAAAATGATGCAAAGAGTTTTTTTGAAAAACACGAAAAAAGTCGATTATCAGGAGTTCTAATTTTCGTTCAAAAAGTAAAAAATATTCCGTCATAAGCACTTTAATAATTGGCATAAGATAAATACAATCGGAAATCATTGCCGTTACCCATCTTTATATGAACAAGAGATTTGTCCTGCTTTGCATACGACTTTAACTTCGATTTTCTCTTACAAATGATATTTCAATTTGATGTTTTTTTGCGGAATATGCTTTAGCTTATGTTGGGATTTGATAAGAAATATTCGCGTCCGAACTTTATGGGCTCTAAAACTGCCATATATTTTATATCTTACATGACAAAAATTGATGAAAAAGTTGATTTTTGGCAAGTAGAACATCCAACTTTTTTAAAAAATAAATGTGAATAATACATGTGATGAACTTACAAGACCTTCTATGACAAGCAGCTGACATATTTTGTTGAGTGGAGTAACACAAAAAAATTGATGAGAATTTTGTGCTTAAATAATAGTTTTCTTATACTTTGAACATTAGCCTGTGTCACATCCGCACAAACCACGGTTAAGTCCTTTAAGTTATTTGTTTTTTCATTTTTAAGATAAAATTCTCTTTCTATAAACGATAAATATTTGATTGACATTTAAAAGCTATTTTATAAAGATTTTCAATTTCTCTTTGCGTTTTAGCTTCGATTTTTCGGATAGAATAAAATGACAGGCAGCCTATTCCACTGGGTCGAGTTTTGCTGTGCAAATTCCTCCCGTCGGGGGGTTATGTTTACAACATAAGCTTGTCAGCTTTGCGCTGATTGGCTAGTCGCATTTTCTCAAATCACCCAGAGGGTTTCATCTCACAATGTCAAAGAAGACAAACAAGAAAGATTTTAAACAGAAATCTATCGAGGTGAGTTAACAAGTACGATTACAACAAAGTTAATCTTTTCGATGCAATTCTGGACTGATTTTATGATGTTTCCTTTACTCCAATCAAAGCTATATCTTGTCTACAAAGAATTTAACGTATATAGTTGATATCTTCATATAGTTTTTTTCTTCCTTTTCTAACTTTAGTGTCAWCTCTGATGACGGTTATACTGGTATTTTGATATTTTTGTTATTTTAAGTGAATATTCTTCTGCCGTTTACACGAATGCAACTTCAATTTGTTTTCACTATATCGCTTTCGGTGGTTTCTTTAAGTATCGTGTTTTAAGTAATTTGCCTGAAAAAATGTCCGGTTTCGAAAATAGACATATTTTTCTGTAATCTTTCTCTGTTTTTTTTTTATTTGTTACAAGAAACCTATCTATCGTACATTTAATAGATCGACAGTACCTAGCTTTTTTCTTGTTTATCTTAAAGTGAAAGTGAAAGTATTTTTTACGGCTGTATATAAGTCTAGAACTTTCCCCACCATTGTTTGGTATCTCGCAGCCACTGATTCAGAAAGTCTCGTTTGTCTCGGGACWCTAATATAATTTAATTACTTAAAAGTTACTTGCAGGCCTTCCGATTTAAGTTATCGAAGTTGAGTTGTCTTTTCCCAAATAAATTATTGGGGTTTCATCTCACAATGTCAAAGAAGACAAACAAAAAGGATTTTAAACAGAAATCTATCGAGGTGAGTTAACAAGTACGATTACAACAAAGTTCATCT